GATATATAGATATATATATATATATATATATATATATATATATATATATATATATATATATATATATATATATATATAAAACAAATATATATTTATATACTGTATATGTTTATATGTATATGTTTTTTTTCTTTATAAACACACATATGTAGTACATAAATATATATATATATATATATACTATATAATATACAAATATAAAATAAGGGAAAATATTGAGAAACATTTTCAGAAACAATTTCGATACTCTAACTATATATATGCCTTCATAACTCATAATTTATATTTAAAAAAATTACTCATAACTCAAAAAAATTAGGACCATTCTACTGATGTCATCTGTCAATAGCAGCATTTCTGTTCAGAAATTAATCTCTTATTAGTTTCTGAATAGAAATGCTGCTATTGACAGGTGTGAATTGTGGGATATGTGTTGTCTACTGTCTGAAGAATAAGCAATATTAAAAGCAGGTGCTTCTGGAGTTAATTTATTGCCCCTGTGAATGTTTGGACATTGAAACAACAAGGTGACATTGTGGACATCTGAGTTGTTTTCTGCCAAGATATGCATCTCCTGTCGCGCTTGTCACCCTCAGCCCTGAGATGACATCACGCTGACAGTCCTATTAAGATGATAACTCTGATCGCTGCATATATTACTGTCACTCCACTCACTGCTTCATCCCCTGAATGAAAAGAACCATGGGATTGTGTCAAACAGGCCTAGTCACTGAGAGGTTATCAGATATCTGTAGGGTGAGCGGATTTTTGAAGACTCAAACCGGGACGGATCGGAGGTGGGGGGGGGGGCGGTGTTCCTGTGAAATCTTCATGGGAGGTGAAATAGTGACAGGAGTAAAATTCTAAAACAACTGGAAAACAAGAGTTTTTTTATTATAGTTGATGTCATTACTGTCATTTTTAGTTTCTTCCTGGCACAGTTAATATTGCACAATTAAAAATTTACTAAAACTATTATAAATAAAACAATAAAACTGAAATAAAATAAAATGTAACAATTAAATTCAAATCTTAAAACTGAACAAATTAGAAATGTTGCCTTGGCAACTAACTGAAGTAAGTTTTAAGTTGAAGCACTAAAATTACGTGGAAATAAATAAATAATTACTGGAAATAAATAAAACTAAAACTGAACTAAAATTAAAACTATTCAAGTTAAATAAAATGTTATTAAATTAAATACAATTGGAACCAATTTTAGAATGGATCCAAAATTAGAAATGTAATAAGTTT